CCGCGCGCAAATGCAAACATCCAAAAATTCTGCTGCTCCGCTCAAATAATAAAAGAAAAAACCGAGGGAATCGTGTGAATTCATTTCTCTCCGAATCAAATAAAAAGAGAGCATAGAGATGGATAAATGTCAACGAATTTCCGTGCAAAAGTGGCTCAGCCTCCAATTTACAGAGCATTGTTTGACAAAAGTTGTATTTTGTTACAAAAAGGAGGGCCACGCAGGTTTTTAAATAAAATGAATTTGCCAGACAAAAGTGCTCCAGTTGCTTAAAATTTGTAATTTTGAAATGAACAAATTTAGTATTAAATGTTGATGAAATTTAAAATGTAGAGCAAAATTCAAAACATTCAACTTATTTTTCAGTGAATTTCTGACTCTTAAATAATGTGTTTATTATTGTGTGTAAAATTAACAAACAATTTTTGGTTTCTGCACTGAGAAAGTTTTTACTGAACCGTTTCCCTTAAAAGATAAATAAAAATTTTGATTTTTCTTAAACACAAAAAACAACTCACAAAACCCATTTTAAATTTAAATCACGATTAATAAGCTTTTTTAAAAAATGAAATAAAAACTGATTGGATTGTTTTCAATCTTCTTTAAATCTCATTACTGGATAATTTGATATAATTTTTCTCATGAAATATGACTGCGAAATTATATTGGGTTAATTTTTGCTACATTAATTTCCTAAATTTCATTGGGTGGGTCCGAATATGAGAGAATCGATACTTGCAGCGATTTTCAAGAAGTGATTCTCGCGCAAGGATTCTCAAGGAACGATTCTGTGGGGGTTTTTCAACGGCAGAAACGTTCCTCGAGAATCCTTGCGCGAGAATCACTTCTTGAGAATCGCTGCAAGAATCGATTGTCTCAAATTCGGACCCACCAATTAAAAACGGAATCTGCTTTTCTCGTCGAGGTTCACATTTCCTCTTCATCTTATTATTTCCTTCATTTATTTTGAAATAAACAATTTTTGCGACTTTGCAATCAAATTGCGATTGCAGCACCTTAAGCATCGATAATAAACAATAATTATTCCGAGAAAATTGGCCCGACTGCATCATACTCTGCTCACACTTGTTGTAATAACAATAGCGCAGTAATTTACTGAGCGCGGCTCATAATGGCGAATAAATCAAACTCGCGGCGCAGACAAAATAATATTGACGTCAGCAGAGGCTTTTCGAATCGGACAATGGCGACTCAAGGCGCGCATTATATGCACGCGAGAGAGGACAAATATATTTCATATATTTAAATGCACACATTATTTTACTTGGTTCGACGCGGCGGCGGCGCTGATGAAATGTAATTGCTGCAGCGGGGCCGAGAAAGACCTCCCGGATCCGAGAGCCAAGCGCACACAAATCCAAGCTGCAAAGTCATCGGACAAAAGCTACTGCGGGTGCCATCTCAGCCTCTCTCTCCAGTCAGATTATATATATGATGCGGCACATTTTTTCCCTATGCTTACTTACTTACCTCGGCGCGTCGAATTTAAAATACAAAAAGTTATGATTATTACGACGGCCGCAGAGGGCAGAGAGACAGACAGAGTTGCTGGAGGATGCTGCGCGCTGATGATGATGATGATGGAGGCTCTTGTGCAATTATTTTCCGTCCATACAAGCTCGGTAATCAGCAGAGAAATAATAAAAAGAGTAGCGACCGACCGACCGCGGTGATTATAAAATAATTTCGGCGACGGTAAATAATTATGTTTGATTTGATAATTGCGCGACTCAATAGAAATCAAGTGTCATCATTGTTATCACCACACAAGGGCTACCGGTGCGCGCCGCAGACTTTTTTAAATCAGAGTCTGATGAGCAAACGTGTCAAAGCCAATTTCACATTCATCCTTGCCACATGTTAAATTATAAGAAAGCAGAAACTTCTGAAATTGTTTAAAAGCAAAATTGTGCACAAAAACTAATATCTATAGTTTAGGCCATAAAGTTTCATAATTTTTTAAAAACAGAAAATTAGAAGCCAATGCCAATGCGTAAATTTTTTAGGAAATTTAAAATGACGGTTAAAAATAGCGGCCTTTTTACATATTTTGAGTTTTCAGCAAATTTAAACTAATTTTTAAGCACTTGAAAAAAATTTATTTTAATAAAAATTTCATAATTTTTTATTCTTAAAACACCCAAGTAATGAAAAAATTCTGCATAAATTAGTAAAATACCAGTATGGCCGGTGGAGACAAATAAGGGTTTGCGAAAAGTGCTGTCAAATTAATTTCGGTGAAGATTTTTTAATTTTTTTGGCGTGAGGTTGAACCTGATGAACCAAGACATCTTTTCTTAATGGTGACCAAGTTTCTAGGTCAAAGGTCATTGACCCTGGCAAAAGGTCAAATTAAAAGTTTTGTGCTCCTTGCTAAATAGACAACCTGACAAAAAAATCCGAGATAGCCACAAGATGCGCCGCGTCATTTTGAATTAAAGCACAAATTTCCAATTCTTTTGAAATATGTCGTGTTACAAATATTTTTAAAATAGCGCTGGAGAATTTTAAAATAATATGCTCGGATGAGTTAAAATTAGAAAATTTAGCCTGCTCTTCCATCTAATTTGAAATAAATTTGGGAGTTTTCTTTTTTTAATGTTTTCCATTCAAAATTGAAGAAATTAAAGAAAAAATTGATTGTTGGTTCCATCTCAGCATCTCAGGCAACCCTTTTTCCTTTATTTTTATGGTTGCGTTGTTCTGACAAAACTTGGTAAATTTCAAATTAATTTTTTTTTCATCCAAGCCAAATAAAGCAAAACCGTTTTGCTTTCAATGCTTTCCCCGCATTTATTATTTATACATATTTTTTTCTTCCTTCCTCTCTCGCTAATTCAAAACGAATGCTCCGCCGAGATAAAATTCATTTCTCATGCAAAACATCACAAATCTATTTTTGATGCAACGATGCAAATAAACATACACAAACCTCTCGTCTTTGTCTGCGCGCGATCTCTGAGAGATACACACAAATGAGAGGGGATATATCATCAATAAAGCGTAATCCATCATCCGAAAAGCAGGCACGGCAAACGTAAAGATAAATAACGTGAAATCTATCCTTAACCCTTTCCGACGAGTCTCTTCTCTGTATTGTAAAAAGCACCGAGGGTGACGATTTCATAAATCATTCGACGCTCCGTTATGCGAAATTAATATTCAAACAGAATAATGGATAGACATTTAATTTGAATGTTACGAAACACGTCTCTTGTCGGTCTTGTCGGTTGAACAAGCCCTTCAATTGGAACAAAAAAAAACTATCAACATAAATCGCTAATCCGGCACTTGAATATTTCAATCTGTTTTTCATATCCGTTGAAATAAATAAAAAAAAATTTTTTTCAAATAAATTAATTCATTAAAACAGAAGGTTCCCTTTGATGCTTTTACTTTCTTTCATGTTCGGTTAGTCAGAAATATTTGTATATGACAGAAAGTCTTTTTAAGTCTGGCGATAAGCGTGTCTGATTTCGCCACCAAACTTATGGTTTTTCACTGCCGCGCGCGCTCGATCATCTGAAAAGGCGACGAGCTGCAGTAAAAAGAAGTTTGACACGAGAAAGATTACTCAAAAATCACAGCGCAGACAACTTTAGACTTTGACTTGTTGAAGCATTTTAAAAGGGTCATAAAGATAATATTCAGTGCCACACACTTCTTCTTCTTTCCTTATCTTGTAAATATATTTCAAACCCCATAAAAAAGTGACGTAATTCTTTTTCGAAAGGGGTGAGAAGGTTGCGCGTCTCCCCTTCAGAGGGCACGACCAGAAGGGAAGATGCAAATATCGTCGCTCTATGCAAATGGCTAGAAAAAAATAAGTGCATTCTCAAAGGGTTCGCGGCCGTTGGAAAAGATGGCATTGTCGGGTCCTTTTCCGTTGATAAACAAAACTCACGCAGCATCCCTTTGTGTCGGAATTTTTTTCTCACCCAGTTGCAAGTTATTAATTGTGAAGAATCTTCAACGGCTTTCTTCATAATTTCTAAGATGTCAGAATTAGAAAAAGAAGAAATAGGTATTTTTAAGTCTTGTTGATAGCTTTATTTAATTTTAATAATTTCATTTCCCCTCCTTGTATTGTCAATAAATTTTTTTTACTTAATTTAATATTATTCTATTTAATTTTGTTTCAACACTCAAAAGAAATAACAGCAGAACTTAAGAAGTTTGAGAAGTGAAAAGTTTTGAGAAATTTATCTAAAAATCTACGAATAACAAAAGTGGAGCAGTTTTTCCTTTCAGTGAATTTAAAGTAAACTTTAATTCAATACACTTTGAAATTTGCAATTTATTGCCAATTAAGATTTATTAAGATATTTATTTTTTGAATTCCTGTTGATGTTGGAAGTGCACATTGAAAAGTGATTTGGGAATCGCAAACATCTTTGCCAGATGGACATGGTGTGGCGGATAAAATGGTCTCTGCGGTCTTAATTTATGGCTTGCGAGATGCGCCTCGCGTGTATAAGAAATAAAAATATCGCCTCGGATTCATAATTCCAGATATGAAATCATCCTTTATAAAAAGATGACGCAACACGACGCGCGGACAAAGAGCAGTGTGTGTTCTGGTGCGGCGGCGACCAAGGACCCTCGACGCTGGCCCCAAACACAACCGAAGCCACTGTCTTGCTCGTCCTTTCGAAAACTAACCGCGCGGCCAGAGATAAATATATATAAATTTCTTAATTAATCGCCCGATCGAATTAGCGCTGCACGCACACCAGAAGGCGCGCGAAATGAAATTGGCCCGCATCTGCGCGCGAATTTTTAGCCGATGGAATCACTTTTAATTATTGTTCATCCCAACAGAAATGTAATAATTTTCTGGCAATTCTCCCGCCTCGATTAAACTACTCCGAGCTCAGCTGCTTGGCCAGAACGAAGAATTCCTCTCGATTTTGGTCGTTCCGTTAATTTGCAGTTTCCGGCCGCGGCCAAATTAATATGAAAAAAAAAATGGTACTCACCGTTGGGCACATTTTGCAGGAGTATTTGCGTCCGTTGGTCACTGCGCCTTGGAGCTGCGAGGGCAGCGCCGTGCCTGAAGCGAAAATGGCTTTTTAGAGGGATATAAGTGGTTCGTATGACGTCACAGAATTAAATTCGCTATATGCAAATAATTCACAGAAAATTTCAAGTAATAAAAAGAAGATACAAATTATATCAATTAAATTTTGAATAATCTGGTAAACTTAATTTCACGTTATTTTCTTTGCAATTAAAGACCTGCTGCGGTGATTTTTATTGCTTTTTAATTAGAAAGATCGCTGAAATTCGAGCATATATTGTGAATAAATGATGCGGAAAATCCGAGCCGTTGCAATTCGCAATCACATGAAAATTTGAGGAATTCACGCGAAAATAATGTAAGAATTGACAATTTCCGTCAGTTTGGTAAAAAAAACTTGAGCTTTTGTTCACCGGTGGCGCTGCGATCGCTGATTTTGTCGCGGCACTGTGCGATCTCAGCACCACCACTGACCAAAAGCTGAAGTTTTTTTTACCAAACTGACCAAAATACTCTATTTTCATATTTTTTTCGCACAAATTTCTTAAATTAGGTATTCTTGTGATTGCGATGCAACAATCACTAAATTTTTCCACAACATATACTTGAATTTAAGCAATCTTACTGAATAAAGAGCAATAAAAATCAGCTGAGTGGGGTTTCAATTATTAAAATATATTTACATGTTAAAATTATCTTTTTGTTTCAACTTTCTTTTCAAAATTTTTTTTTCCTGACTGACCTCCGGGTGCTCCAGCGATGGGTGGTGAGGATGAGGTGCTGCTGGTGGAGCGCGGGGTGGCCCCTGCGCCTCCGTACATGGCTGCACCCTGCTGATGATGGCCGTCGTCCAAGCTGCTGCCTGAAACATGGATTTCCTTTCTATAATGACCGCTTGCTTCGTTTGATGCGTCTGTCAATTAAGGTCAGGCAAAGGTTTAATTAGAGGAAATAGCGGATGGTCCTCATTAAGGATATCTCGAAATTAAGCCACCTTGCAAATTATGTCACGTTATTATTATTGCTTTCTGACGAATCAAGACAAACGAATAAGAGAAATTCCGTTTCGCAATTATTCATCCTAGAGACGAAATAGGAAACTTTGAGTAAATTTCACTTGCAAATTGTTTGGGAGCGTAAAAAGGTGCCGTCGAGAGTAATGAATTCTAATTTCGGGCTGTGTTTTCGGCACTTAATATCGGCGGCGCGTCCTGCTTCTTCTTCTCATCTCATCTCTTTCGCCGCCGCTGAAAAAACACGCCGGCTTGATGGAAGGAAAACACGGCACTATTTACATTGAATCATATTTCGCTAGAATAGCTTCAGCAGACGTATAATGAAAAAAGCGGCTGCTCTCTTTCGCCCAAAAGTACATCTTTTGTAAAAATGCTCGAGGTTTTTATATTTGCCGAATACCTTGGAGAAGGAGAAATGCTCAAACAAAAGCATGCAATTAGTCTCTAAAAGCTGCTGGGCTCGAATTTTCGGCAAACGTAAAGAGGCGAGATGGAGAAATTACCAAAAAGTACTTTCAAGAGCAGGATTTGCATATTTTTTTACTGCACTGTCATGAAAATTTAACAAAATTAACCTTTAAAAGCCTCAGCCAAGAGAGAAGCTTCAAAATTTTATATTAAAAAATATTAAAATAAATTAACTCTATTAAAAATTAGAATGAAATAATGAATTTAAATTTAGATTATTATATGAAAATTGAAACTGGGTTTCAGCCAAGTTTGATTATTTTTATAAGCTAATTTTCCTTTCCTTAATGTATGTTTTGCAATTAGTGTCATTGAAACTTGGTGTTTGTCTTGCCGATTTTAAATAAGGTTGAAAAAATTAATTAATTCATGACAGGTGCGTTTGAGCCTTCAGATATGGAATCAATTAATCAAACGCCTCGTCTTTGTTGCCCAACCTGCAAATACACGAATTTTCTCGAGCAGGGAGCTTATCATGAATTTTTACGGTTGCGAGAAAGTGGGTGTAACTCTCGATTTACGAATAAAATATTTTCGGTCGCGGTAAAAACTTTTTCGGTCGCGAAAAAACGTTTTTTCGGTCGCGCAAGCTTTTTTTTCGGTCGCTAGATGGCGTTGTTTGTTTTACCGGTTGTGATCACACTTTACGTGAGGCGAAAAACTTTTTCTCGCTCACGTTAAAATTTTACATTGATCAAATGGAAGTGATTTTTACGGCTGCTCTCAGCAGACGAAAATTTTGAACCGTAAAAAAGCTGATCATTGCCAATAGCTTTGAAGTTTGAAGTGAGGTTTCTATTAATAATTAAATAGGTAGATCATACATTGTGCTAATTTTATGTGATTGATTTATTAAAAAACAAATTGTGTCCCTCCAAATTAGTTAAAAATTAAGGGAAAGATATTTATAATGCAATTTAATGTGACAAACCGTGACCTATGCTTCAAACCAGTCGCAATAATTTCTTTTAATCCACGGCCGGGCCGATGATTTAAGGAGAATAGCATATTAAATTGATCTAAATTTAATATTTCATCAATTTAATAACCAAATTATTGGGCAAATTAAACAAAACGTTGTTTTTTTCCGTTTCTATTCCACTTCCATGATCAAAACAAACCCACGCGACACACGCCCCCTTGCGCCACCGTAAAAATTGTTTTCACAACCGAAAAAGATGTACTCGCAAGTGAAAAAGTTTTCCCGAACGTAAATTTTTAGCTCCTCCCACCGAAAATATTTTTCCTGACCGAAAATTCTAGCTCCACCCAACGAAAAAAGTTTTATCGCAACCGAAAATTCTCGCGACCGTAAAAAAATCATGATAAGCTCCCAGGTGTTGTAACACACACGTGCGAAATCAGTCACCGCGCTCATTCTCAAATGATCTACATCATCAAATATATAATAATAAATTCCTCACGGAGCGCGGCGCAGCTCAAGGTTGTTAATGTTTTATGTCCGCGCAAGGTCGATCTTGAGCGAAACTTCTCTGCACAGAAAAAGAATCATGAAGAACAACTGCGCTCTCGGATTAATACATATTTGACGCTGATTTATATCTCTCAGCTCGGATAAAAAAAGCGTCAGTGTGTTATGTACAATTTTCTTGCAAAAGAACCCCCTCGAGTATATAATTACTTTGCACCTCAATCGCAATTTAAAAATAGCTTTTCCAAACGCCTTTGTTGCGCGATTTGAATGTGTAAAATAAATTGTTGTGACGCGTACATCGATTCAAGATTCAACTGGGCTGCCGAGATGTTGATTCAATGAGGATTTGCTGCGTTCACCGTTCAGAAGGTTAACGCGCATTTTCATATTATTATTATTACATTTGGGGTTTGCAAAGCTCAAGGCTCCAAATTGCAGCCATTCAGTTCGCATGGCAATTACCAATTTAAAGGCAACGCGAAGTGACGTGAGCAAGCGCAGGTGAACTTGAACACCAGAGTAGTGCGATTTGACGAGATTGCATGCGTGCAAAATCAAATAAGAATCGCACCAAACCCAAAATGTTGTGTAACAAATTTATATTATTTTTGTATAGAATTTATCAATTTTTAAATTATATGCAATTATTTCAATTGAAATTAAAGAAATAAAATTTGAATTAATTTATTACAGCGTTTTAAAATTTCCAAAAAACTGTCGAAGTTCAAATTTATTTCTAAATTGTAAGTAAATTTCCTTATATAACTGGTAATTCAAGATTATTTTATCTTTTTTATTATTAAAATTGGAAAATTGTATAAATTTGAGGTGGGTTATGAGTTGTAAATAAACAGGAGAAATAAAAAGGCTCCGAAGAAAAGCTTTTTATTTAATGTGAAAAACAAACTACACAATATTTTGAATGTCTCGCGAGATGATTTATGCGCAGGCAGTTGAGTAGCTTTCAGCATAAATTAAAAATTAGCACCTTGGAAACGCGGGCCGGCCGGTGTGTCAAATTGATTTCGCGCACCGCAGAGAAATTGAATCGGCGCGTCAAGACTCCGCCTACGCGCCGGCGTTATTGGCTAAAAATTCGAAAAGGTTTTTGTGTCACGCGAGAGGGCACATAAAATATGATCACTTGCATGCGATTGCATAAATAATTACGTTAAGCCGACCGAAATTATCATTTTGCCTGCTCGAGTGCGCGTTTTTCCTTCGCTTATCGGCCCGAGAAATCTCCTCTGAATTTGCAGCCAGGCCTCGTTAGAAATTTATGCACTTAATCGCAGAGAGGAAGTGGCCCTGAATTTACATAAAAATGGCGTCAACACGGCAAAAGTTTTGTTTGCTTTTGATGATTACTTTTGAGCTCAAAAGTCTCAAATATGTTTCAGAGGAAATCAGTTTGAAATGAAATCGTTTTCAACACAAAAAAATAATAATTGTGCTTTAATCTGCAGACAGGCGAAGCAGAACGATAATTGCCAACGCCGAAAATAACTTATCAATTTTTTGTCTTCAAAAACTGGTTTCGCAATTGCAGCCTAGCTCTGTGAAGATTCCCAACGATTAAAAACAAAGAGTTTTAATAATAATTGAAATGTCGAGCGAGCGCTAATAACATTAATTCTTTTCGCTGCCCGCATCTGCTGCTGCAGTTCAAATATGTATTTCGAGCACATAAAGAGAGCCGGCCGAGTGTGTACGCAACCCGCATCGCAAATGCTGCAAAGCAAACAGACCAGTTCATTATTTAATGCATTAACAAACACTAAAGCGGCTACTTTAAATACAATTATATTGCTTCGTGCTAATCTGCTTAGTGTTTAATTTCGCGGCTACTGTGCTCATCAATCATGAAATCAGTTGTTTCCCTCTCATTTATTCTCGTGCGTATAATTAAGAAGGTGGAAAAAATTGCAGAGGTAATGTTCTGTGCGAAAAATTAGCCTTGCACCGAGACCAACCGCGCACTTCTGAAGGATAATTATTTTTATATTGTTTCGGAATTAGCCAAGCAAAAACAACTTGCAAAGCTCCTCAAGTTCTTTTTCCTAATTAAAAAGTTTATATAAATCATTTATGCAAAATAAGGAAAAATTCTTTAATAATTTGGATTAATCAGAATTATTTTTACTCAAACGTAAAGAAACTTCCGATCACGCGCGTTTCGAAATAATGAAAAATTTCCTGTTGAATCGGTGCAAGATCTAGATTTGTCGAGACCGGCCTGGCTTTTGGTAAAAGTGGACGCGGCGCGAGTGTTAAAAATAATGCGAAACGCTTAAACGGTTACTTTCAAATCTAAAAATAAGTACAAGAGTCGCGCACGCACTTTTGCCGCCAAACAGGTTTTTGTTGACTTTTGCCGGTGCCGCTGAAAAATGTCCAGAGTGTCGCAAGTAAAAAGGAAGTGGTTCCTTTTTGCAACACCGAGACCCAGATCCGCCGAGTAATAAATGATTTGGCAAATGCAAATTTACATAAAGCTCTGATCTGAATTTCTCTCTTCGTCTCTCTCATTCTATTTCAGCCGCCGACGGAGCACTTTGGGCCGCTGCGAGGGGCAAAGGCGATCAGAAGCCAAAGTGCTGAGAAAATGAGCCACACACGGCGCGCGCGCCCGTCTCATTATGCAAATGGCACGGTTTGACAGTAAAAGACGAATCAAAGGATTGCAAAGTAAAAAACGAGCGAAAAAAACTTCTTTTGCATTTGATCGGCCCTTTATGTTCCAATTACAGAGAGAAACAGCGCTTCAAACTAACCAGAAAAACCGTAAAATGGTGCCAAAATAAACACTGCGTTAAAATAGATCACATTTTATTGCGGAGGAAAAAGAAACCTTAAAAAAATGTTCAATGTGGCAAATCTTGGGAAAAAATTATATAGACAATTTTATTTGTTTAAATTGAAAACCTTGCAAAAAAACTTTCTTTATAAAATGTAAGGAATAATTAGATAAACAACAAATAAAATCAATAATAAATTAAAAAATTATTTTGTAATCTAGTAATTTTTATTGGAATTAGTAATTGCGCAGTTTGGTTAAAATTTTTGTATTATTCGCTTAAAAAATTTCAAACGGAAAATTTATTGAATTGAAAAGACCGGTTAGATTTTGAGACAGGGAATTGAATAGGAAATCGTTGACTATTACATCACTCGAAAGACGCCCACAGAGAATCTTGCTTGCTTCATTTCTTTTTTTTTATATTTGCTTTTCGTGTTGCAAAAGAAAAGGTTTGCATAGAACAAAATACCCGGTGCCGATCGGGACGATTGAATGTTTGCGGAATAAATTTAGCGGCGGCGGCGGCCCATAAATTAGGAGACGCGCTGCTCGCTCGGCCTTTATAGCAACAACAACACCTGTGAATAATATATTTAATGCGGCATTAGAAGAGGTGATTGTTGCTCATTCTCGTCGGTGACCTTCACGGCAAGAAAGAAAGAACAAGAGAGAGACGACGGACCCTTTGGCTACTTTTCTTTCTCAATATTTTAATAATACACAAAAGCGCCCTCGGCACACATTATCACATCATCTCGTCACCAAACAACGCATTGTATAGAAAAAGCAACAATGGAGAGGCGCTGAGGGATTTTTCTTTTTAATCAAAAACGCATTGATACAAAGCTTTTTAATTTTAAGGTTGATTTTGAATTTCGTCCGAAAGGGCTGCGGTGTGTATAAATAATAAATTCCCTTGAAAGCGAGAGTTGAAAAAAAAAGTGTACAATGGAAAGAGACGCTGCAGCATCTCAGGTAGCGGCGAGGGATGCCAGATTAAATTCATCAATCATCAGCAAGTTAATAAGGAAATAATTTCCTCCGTCGAAAAAGGGACGGCGCATTTTTACCGCACATGGGAACCAAAGGGGTTTGAATAAATAAAGTAAAAAAAGAAAGAAAGGGAAGTTGAAATTTGTTCTCTTACCTTTCTGCATCGAGTTCTGCTGATCGGCCGAGCTCATTTTCGCCTGGAAAAAAATCAGTTTAAAATCGTATTAAGCATAAATACAAAATATATTTAGTGCTAATATTTTTAACCAAAAAGTTGAAATCTGTTCTTAAATGAGTTTGAAATGAAAATTATTTATAAAATTCAAATGAAATATTTCAGTTTTCTCTCCTTCGCACATAAAAATTAACTTTGTTTGAATCTGATTGCCTTGGAAAATGAAGTGATTTGAGAAGTGCAAAAACCGCGAGTCGCCGGCCACGTGAGTGCCTGGCGAGGTAAAATAAAAGCAGCTGCGAGATTCATTACCAAATTGGTTTTATCTGTCCGCGCGTCACCAACAATAAAATTGCGTGCAGCCTCTAATCCACCCCGACCGGTCAATTATCCTCCGCGAATGATATTGAATAATTTTTTTTTTTAATTCTGTGTGGAAATCTGCTTGTGTGGCTGCGACCGAGTCGGACTTACTTTTCGGCTGCACGAAAGGCGAGACCACCAAAAAAGAAGGGGACGCGGCGCGAGAGTTCTAAATTCGCAAAGATATTGAGAACCGGTTGGTAAATAAATGTGCGGTTGCTGCAAAGTTGAATAAACCTTCTTTGCCCCCACAGAGTCTATATTACCAAATTTCAGCAAAATCGCACATAAATTAATAAAGAGAGGCAGACCCATGTGACTCGCTTTGCCTCTCTCTCTGCACCGCGAACATAAAACGACGACGAATGCTTTTCCTTTTCGTGCTTGCCGAATTTATATGTACAAATATTTGCACACACGCGCGAATATCTTACACGTCATTAGCCGAATGCTGAGCAAGATTTTGCAATCAAAGCAGCCTCGCGTCGGAAATTTGTGGAAATACATGCGTGGCTTTCTTTCTGTGCCGTAAACACTTTATCTCTTTGCTGGGCAAACACGCCGATCGCCGCTAATATTTGCCAGACAGATTTGTTTGTCTGCGGCCATTTCAAATTGCGCAACACCAAATCTCAAGTATTCATGAAACCAACAATAAAATGTTTACAAATCCTGCATTTTTGATTGGAATACAATTAAAACCTTCTCGAATTGACTGAATTATGAAGAAAAAATAAGTGTCATTTTCTAATTTCAACTCATCCGAACAGATAATTTGAACTTTAAAATCAATAATATTTTAGACACGGATCGTTTGAAACTATTGAAAATTTGGATTTTGATGCAAAATGACACGGCGCATCTTTTGGCTATCTCGGATATTTCCGTAAACCCTAACTTTTGTTGGCGGAGTTTGGCAAATATGATCATGAAGAACGATAATTTGAGATATTTGTTTGCCAAAATCAATCAAGACATAAAAAATTAACAAAACAAAGGAGCAATAAAAATTAATCACTTTTTTATACTAAAATTGTGCAGTTTTAGTGCGAGAGGTGGAAAAATACAATAATCGCGTAACTTATATTTTTGATCTCACCTCGATAATATATTTGGATGGCGCGCGGTTCCAGTCCTGTTGGGCCATCTTGTTGGACTGATACGGCCTCTAAAATCAAAACAAAAGAAACACATAAGAAAGAAAACAATTATTTTCACGAAGGAGACGAAATTTCCAACACAGCACCTAATTAATTCCGCCTGTTAATTGTGCATCTTGTCCGCTTTAATCACCACGATCTTTATACTTTTAATTAGTGAACGTGTTTCGCCCTCATTGTCGCTCGCTCGGTGGCATTTCTTTTTTTATTCAATCCGAAAAACGGCTGAAAATGTTTATAAAAAGTGAAAATAATCTCCCGTGGAGCTATTAACGTCCTTCAGGGGTGTTGCGAGGTAATGAGGGTAAATACACAGCGAGAGGGGTGAAAAGTGTGAGCTTTTTTGCAACACAATGCGCGGAGGGGATGGAGATTTGCTTTGTAACATTTATTATTACCTGTTGTGCATTATTACTGCGGATTGATACTCGCTGCACAGACTCAATAATAATAGTTTATTGAATGGAAGCCGCTGCCGCGCGCCAACAACCGACCATCGACCTATTGTGCGGCCGCAACAATCGGCGCAAGATCAAGAGCGCGCAACCCTTTCAAAGTTAACAAAATATACACGTTCGGCAGATAAAATCTCTTTATTAGCAACAAGAAGGGTTGCGAGGAGCTGGTGCTGACAAAATATTTTGGAGATGATCAGACCTGATTGCACATAAAATGAATAGGTAAAAATTGATGGAAAATTAATCAATGTATACAGATTTTTACAAATATCTGAAATAATGAAGTTATTTCAAATTTAAATGAATTAAAAAATATAAATTTTCTACAAAATACTTTTTGGTAAACTGAAATTTTTTATGTTTTATAAATTATAATTCAAATTGAAATAATAATTTAATCACGTTTTTAATTTACTTTTAAGGTAAGGTTTAACAACAACAAAAAACGGCCCGATTAATTTTGATTTTGATGATCAATATCCTCATCACTCATTGCTTTCTATTTTTCAGTTAAAAAGGAAAAATTGGTTTCATTTGGAGAACTGAATTTTTTAAATTTGAAATTGTTTCTAAATTTTTCCCAAAATTGCCCCACTTAAAATAGTTTAAAATTTCACCAAATCACGTTCCAGTCACGTCAATTAAGAAGGGAAAAAATTGTTTAAATTGATCTTATGCGAAAATGTTCCGTAGTTTTTTAATTACAGTGAGAAATCCCACATTTACTGGTCATACTTGGATTAAATTTTAGTTACAAATTCATTTTCTTCAGATTTGTAGTGTTTGCCAACGGTTATTTAAATTATTCAAAATAATTCACCCTAAATATTGAAGAAAATGATGTAATTATTCCATGACAGTCGTAAATGGATCCAATTTCCGGTGATAAAGTAATTTGCATAATTATCTGTTTTACTTTTGGCGTTCAATTCATCTTGGGTTGCGTGAAATGAAATTTGAACAATCGCTAAGCACGGGATCATTTTACAAGTCTCAATTTATCTTCTGATTAGACTTTCCCACGTCCCTTGAATTTGGCCCCCGGGGCAATTTATCCACCGCAATTACAAATTCAAATGCAGAGCGCGACACATTTCGCCGTCTAATTTACTCATCACTCACTCGAGTGTGCGCATAAATTTTTCTTAAAGGAGCAGGTACGAGAGCGAGCGAGTGAGCGAGCGAGCAACACAATACATCATCCCTGTCCTAGGGGTGCGAGTGCGAAGCTACCCCTGGTCATGGTTGTCTGCCGCCTTTGCCGCCGCCGCCGCCGCGAGGAAAATCAATAAGTGTGCGACCTCCGCATCTCTGCTCGCGCCGCCAGTCGCCGCCGCCGCCGCGATGCCGTATAAATTTTTATATATTCGAATGTGCGACGGAAAAATAAAGTCTAGACACAAACCAATCAATCAAAGCTCTCGTCGCATTTTCACGTGCGGGCGACGCTTTAAATGTCGCCGAAACAATAAAAAAAAAATTCGTGCTCGTGTCGCGACACACAATGACAGCAGCTTCCCATTATTCCGAATTGCTTTGTGTCGGCGCTCGCACCAATTTTCATCCCTTTCACCACGATTTTGCGGTTAAATTTTTCAAATTGCCAAAGCCAGCCAAAATTGGGTTTGCATTTCATTTTGCCTGAACAGTGAAAATTCATGGGAAATTTTGTGAAATTCCACGAAAACAAACGGGAAAATATGTGAAAAAATTTAAAATATAAAAAATTAAGTACAAAATACGAAGTTAACGTGGAACTTATGATATCTGAATTTGAAATAAAACTTCTCAAAATGTAAATTTCTTACGTCGATTTAAAATTACCAATTTCAATAATTCAGTTCTCCTTATGATTTTCATTTTTCTTGGTATGTCTCTTTTGTTTTCTGTGTGATTATGTCAAAAGACGAAAAACTGTTGCGAAGATGGTATGCAACCTGCTGGACACTCAAATATCTTAATATTGACAACTTTTCGTTTTTTTTTAATTATCTAGTAGTTTTTATTATGTTTTATTCCATAATTTTTGAACAAATGGAAGGAAATATTTTCAACTGCTAAAACAATTAAACGAGATTCCAATTAAAAAATCCATTGAAATAATAATGTAATTAATTTTTTTAGAAAAGATTCTTGTAAACTCGACAAATTTTTGCTGCTAAAATTGAATTGAACTTGAGAAGAAATTTTATTATATCAGACAAGAAATTCTTCGTATTTTTTTCTTGTTTTAGACGAAGCAATTTCTTTTCGCTAGACAATTTTCGTAAACAGGCGAAATCAAACACTGCGCTTGCCTTTTTTTACTTTCTTTTCTTTCGCGCAGAGCAAACACTTTTCGGCGAGCAATAACGGCGCAGACAAGCGCAATTTTGTAATCGCACAAATATTTTCCTCGTCTGCAGCAGCACCAGCGGCGTTGGCGGAAGAACAAAATAATGGAAAAAAAGTGCTGCTGCTCAATTTCGGGCTAAATGAGAAATAATGAACGCGCCGCTTTCATTCGAGCGCTGCTTTAATTAAGGCGTGTTTTTCTCAAATTTTGTATCTGTTGGCGTTCGAGCGGCCAACACTTTATCATTCACTCGAATCTGACGTGACAATTTGGCCGTCCGTCATTTGCATAATATTCAAATTACACACCTCGCTCGCGACTCGCACCGGCCATACTTGCAGCCGGCCACAGGTTTTCGCACCAATTCGCTTTCTTTCAGCATTTTATTTTAAACGGCAAAATAAGATCGTCGCTGACCGCAATTTCTCACTTCCAACTTTAGCAAATTAAGTCAAGGTTACATTAAAAAAATAATCAAATTAGATTTCAATGAATGAAACGTTTTTTAATTATATAATTTAATTTTCCAGATTTAGAGTTTTTTCTTCTTCATTTTTCAATTCAATTTTTTGATTGATTTGTGAAGAGAAAAATTTATTTGAATGCAATTCGCCAAAATATAGTGCTAGAATGAAAATTGCAATGCAATACTCCAGAGGAATTTTAAATGATTCAGAAACTGAGCGAGAAAACCAATGCTCGGAAAATTAATTGAAATGTCCAAATTTCAACTTTTAATAAATTTGAATTTTTAGATCTTTTTTAAACATAATTTATGCTCAGCGTGTTGCTGTATGTCTTGATTTCTAAGTTTTAAATAAAAATAATGCTTTGAAAACAGAAATTCTAATCTATTTTGAGAATAATTTAAATTTCCTTTTAAAAATTAAAAATTGGACATTTTCATTATTTGCTTTCTTCGCTCAGTTTTTGAATTCATGTTAAATTTCTATTGGAAAATTAAAACTGAAACTGGAAAACACTTAAAAACACAAACACGACACAACTCATCACAAAAAAAAAATAAAAAAATCTCACTAAAAATTAATGAAGGTTATCTTTTTAATTCGAATATAAATTTAATTTATTAAATTATTTTAATATTTTTTACTGCATTCTCAAAAACCTGATAACGCCTCTTTAAAATTTATTGTTAAGTTTGCAAAACGTTTGCCTGCTCGATTGGTGTTCACAAGAGGCAGAGGCACGAGAAAGACGAAGATCGAAGGTGACGCTTAATTTAACGGTGCTTTTGGCTTTTGATGCGCGCGAGGTGTTTTCAGCAAAATATCGGCCCAGCCCATTAAAGATCGTTTGATTGATTTACCGCGGCCACTTGACTCTGAAAATTACACGTTTCCGAGCCGTAAAACCGGCAATAAAACGAGCCAAGAAGAAGAAAATAAGCGATTGCATCGATTTTGTTTTACCTGTGCAGGTAGCAGTCACGATTCTTTCTTTCGTTATTGGCCGTACATTTATATATCGCGAGAACAAAACAGAGAGACAAAAGTGACCTTGACCCAACAAACGCGGTGACCTTGCCGCGGGGCAAGCGCAACGTTTTGCACGGGCAAAAAATCGATAACGTTGTAGAACGGTATATTTATTTTTGTGTCGGCAGTAAAGTCTTAATGACACTTTAAATCGAGCAAAAGCAGTTTCTATAAAAAAAATGAGGAAATATTAACCGGTTTACTTTGATAAAGTTTGAAAAATATTTAGAAACACTTTACTAAATAAAACAATCAATTTATTTAAGTTAAATTTACTTGAAACTTGGAAAGAGAAGTTTAATTTTTTTAGATTCACATTGTAATAAATGTGAATATTTTTAATTTTCTTGCAAGCTGTTGGGGACAGACGCGGTGCGAGGAAAAGACTCTCGTTTTCATTTTGCCGAGCAATTTGTAAACATCCAAATGGAAGAGGCAAAAAAATCTCAAATATATTAAATTTCAAGACCCGAAGCAAGTTTTTTTTCAGCAAAAAAAAAGACATTTGAAAAAACGGCAGGAAAGGATCAAGTGCACACATTTAATCACAATAAAACCACCTCTGTTGAATGAGAGCACAATTTTTAAATATATTCAAAGCTGCGGATAAAAAAATCAACCTGCCGTCGACAAAAACCTGAGGATTTTTTCCCCACTTTCGATTTCAGCATTTTTCATCCAAACCCATATCCACCTTCTGCCGCCGGCTGGACAAAAAAAAACTACCAAGGTGCGCGGACAAATAATCAACCCTTTCATTTTTCCACCGCATGACGAGAAAATCCAACACGCACGGAAAAAAATCAGAGACGCGCCAGCTGGGAGATGCGTTTTCTTTTTTCAGATTAATTGCTCGTCTCTCGCGCGGCCGAGACGAACCTCATCCTGTGTGTGTATTTTACATATCACCCTCTTGGATGCATTTTTTTCTTCTTCCCCACTCAACCCTTTCCCATGCTAATCCCCTCGGCTGCATAATCCGCTAAGCATCAGAAGCACCTCTTTTGCATTAAACAGTTTTTCTTTTGCGCCACCTCGCACTTTATGCAGATTCCAAAATAAGAAAACTAATGGAGCGTGTTTTCCCGAATCGGGATTATGCTCAGCGTGGTGCCTCTTTGGATCGAAAAGACCGTTCGCACCTTTCTCGCCACCGGCCAAAACCAAAAGAAAAAAAAAACGGTTTGCTCTGAGGAAAATCGTGGGTTTTTCGGAAACAAAGTTTCGAGCGGAAGTTTTGATGCGAGATATTTCCAATTATTTCGACTTTATCTTGATCATTTCCGCCAAGATTGTACTTTTTCCTTGCTCTGGATTGATAAAATTTAGCTCTATAACCAAAAATACTTTTATCAGAATTTAATGTTCACAGGCAGGATGTTTCGTATCTCAAAATGTTCAAAATCAGTTTTTAACTGCGTCATTCTTTGGAGAAAACGCGCATTTGTGAAATTTTATTATCAATATTGCTATGAAAAAAATAATGCAATTTACCAATTAATAATGGCAAAGATTGTTTGATTGATTTCAATTAATTTAAAGTAAATTTATTGGTTAATTTTCAAAAAAGTATGAGTTTTTCATAGTATTAAATAATAATATTGGAAAACAATAAAATAGAAAGCGAATTGTATTAATTTTTACCAGCAAAAATCATTAGAAACAAATCTACGTTGAGCTGTTTTTTCCAACTGCTTTTCCCACTGCATGATTAATTTAATCTGAGAAATTTGCATGCTCATGTGTACGGAAATTAATCTTAAATGAGCGTGAAGTGAAAAATGCAGCCAGCCTCGGGCTAATGGAAGAGGAAATTCTCACACACGGCGCAGAAAAATAATACGCTCGCTTCGTATTTATGCAAATGCGTGCATACATAATTACGCGCTTTTGAGAGAGATAAAGAAAGAAAGAAAGAAAGAGAGATGCTGCAGATGAAGAAGAAAAAATGGTCATCTGCGCTGCACCCTTGCGTGTGACGGCGGCGATACATCATGCGCCGGCATCTAATTATGCATCCCCTCGAGCTAGGCAGGCGAGGGGTTAACACGCAGCATCCCTTCTAAAGATTTTTTGTCCGCGCGCGTTTTTTTTTTACTCATCCTTGCCGAGGAGCTGTTTTATGTCTATTAATCTAGAAACTTTAAATCCGCGTCTCCTTTCTCTTTGTTGGTCTCTCTCGCGCGCGGGGCACAAAGAAAGAGGACCAGTTTTGTTTCGCCCCACTTTGCATACCTAACTCTTTCACACACTCTTAGTAATGACGATGCGCGTCTCCAGAGTGGTGAAAAAAAATCTTCTTGAACAGAATATACGGGACACGTCTCTGAAAAGCAGTGCGTTTTGCATATTATCCGACGGGACGCGAGCGAGGCGCGTTTTCCAGCGCACGGAATCGCGTAATGACGACCTAAACAAATACCATAAATCATTGTCACCCGCAGAAGGAAAAGTGACAATGCATGCGACAAACTCAAGAACAATCTTTTCACAAATCGTACATCAAGAAACGAACAAATATTAGCTCATGTGGTGCACACAATTGTTACGAATATTGAGACAAACGTGGGAATCTGATGAATTTAATCATGTATTAAGCTTTTAAATTACTTAATAAATTTGGAATATAGAAACATGTTATTTAATAAAAAATACTTTACAATTAAGAAAAATGCATACATAATTTATTTTATAAATTAAGAATTGTTTTATATTAATAATTGTATAAAATTATTTTTCTATATTTGTTCCGTAAAAGCCATAAAAATTTGATAGTGTACTAATAATCAAAAGATTTTGACAAAATTTAGTTAATTAAATAATTATCTTATGAAATGACAAAATGATTAATAAGCTTCGTATTAAACGTTAGAGACACAAAAATAGTCTCAAAATGTATAATTAACAATGTAAAGATTTATTAATTTTTTTGACACAAATATCAACTTTAGATCTTTTTTCTATACGATCAATGTAAATTTTTTATTATAACTAACCTTATTGATTTTATTTTTCCATCTAAATAAAGGCGATTTGAACGTGATTTGGTGAAATTTTTATCAATTTTGGTCAGGCAAATATTTACAAATGAAATATTTTGGAAAATCCAATAAAATAAAATGTTGAAATTTAAAAAATTTTCAGTTCTTCTTCAAATCATTGATAATGTAGAGGGGAAAAAATGATTCCTTGGAAGTCTGAATATTATTATGATAGTTTTTTTTTACAAAATCTGCGAATTTATCATTAAAAAACGGAATTATTGATCTGTTTGATTAATTGTGTTGAAATTTAATTTATAGAGCAATAATGTAGAATCTTTTTTCAAATATTATTTCACATTTCGGCTCAAGCATGGGAAAGCCCTGAAAAGCAAAGCCGGATTCTCGTACGGGACACTCGGATCATTTGAATACACCCCACTAGCTCTGCTCGTGCGTTGCTCATCCTCGCCTCTCTTTCTTTCTTTCTCTCTCACCGTCGAAAATGAGTAAAATTTTTTTCCTCAGCCCCGCTCATTGGTTCCTGCGTTTGCACAAAAGGCGGCGTAAAAAAAACTGGCCCCGGCGGGCACAAAGACACACTCGTACATCACCTTCCTCGCTCCCTTATTATGCACGCACACACAAAGTATAACCCTTTGGCTTAATCCGATGCATGCAAAAAAAGTGGACATGCAGCTCTCTTGTCTTACTCGCTGCATCGCTCTTCCCAGACCGGCTTTTTTTCTTCCCTCAAAAATTTTACTGCCTCTTTCATTTATCACGCAGCACCAACGGTTTGCTTCGCTTTTTTTCAACATGTAAATTACACGCAGAGACTCATTTCGTCTCAACTCGAGAGACAACTTTTCACTAGAAACGAAGAAAAAAATACCAACGAACTTCTTCTTCTTCTTCTTCTTTCATGTTACGAAATGCAAAACGAGTCTCATAATTGTCAAAACGCGATGAAATAGAATTATGAAAAGCATTTTGGCGCGCAATTCAGACTCGTTTGTCTCAAAAGAAACAAATTTTACCTGCCCATTTTTTGTCTTGTTCTGGAGGATGCATTGTTGCGTTTATTGCCCCTTGTTAAGGTCGCGCGCGCCGGTTCATCGAAGGTCAGTCCAAATGTTTTGATTTTTTCTTGCTCTTCGCACAATAAATAAATAAATACAGAAGTCGTTGACCTGCCGGCGCTGGCAATAAAACACAACCTAAATTTTTTTGGAAAATTTTTTCTCATTCTTTTCAAAGAATGCCTTCCGAATGCTTTCTACTCTCAATTGAGGCGTGACCCGAATGTGTCTTAATTTTTTTTCTCCGCCGCGACGAGTTAATTAACTTGAATTGTCGATGATTAATTGCCGACTTGCTAATTAATTTTCTGTCAAAGCGATCCAACAACTCTCTCTCGAAATCTCACAAAAAATAATTTGAACATGCATACTTTGCTCACCTCGACGTTGTTCCACATGTAGTGGACGTCGTGCGAGTGCGGGTTGTTCATGTGCTCGGCCATGACGCTCATCCAGTGCACGAGGCCCTGCGCCGAGCCGGGGGTGGCGGCGCCCGGGGGGGTCCCCCCGGCCACCACACCCCCGGCCTTGCCGCCGCTGTGCGCCGACGACACTTCGGACGCCGGTGGCGGCGAAGACCACACGAACGCGGCTTTCTGAAACACACAAACAGCCACAAATTATTCAAAATGTGCAAACAATCTAACTAAAAATTAAAGTGTTCTTTTGTAATTTTCAAAAAAAGTCAGAAACTTAGTGAGGAAAGCAAATTAAGATGTTGAAATTTCAACATTTAATTGAAAATCTTTTGTTTCAAAACACATTAGGATTTTCTATTCAAATGAACTAATTTTCAATTTGAAACTAAAAATCAGTAATATTCTTTGCAATTTTTATTTAAAAGGAAACTAAAAACCTCCACAGTCGATTTCCAATTCTTTTTTACTCTGTCAGTTAGTTAAATTTTGTAATTTTATTTCATTTAAATATTTGTTTTTGCTGCAACCTTTTCCCTTATTTTATCAAAAGGCAGATTTGCGCGATTGACATTGAAAGGAAATTGATGACGGCGAATGATGTAAAAACTATTGAATCTGATATAATTTCTCTAGTTTCGAAACAGAGCAAAAAGCAGCTCCCTTTTTTTCTCCACTATTGTACGTATAATGTAGCGTGAGAGTTGTTCGGGTGCGATTGAATTCCCACGTCTGTTTTTTTTTTTCTTTCAAAGCGAGCTCGATTTTTCCTTGTTTGACCTGGAAATTTTGCAGACTCGAGCCAGACGGTTTGGGCGTTTTTTCCGCGTCTGCGATATAGATTCGCGCGGCGCGGCGCAGGTAATTTTGCACCCAGATGCTCTAGGCATGAGAGCGCGTCTCTTCTTTCCATCTAGTCAAAGGGCCCAGTCATGTGAGCAGATATCACATCACACGGCGCAATGATGATTCTACCCCTGTAGCCTAGGCAACGCGACAAGCACACGCACAGAGAGCGACACAATTTTGTCTCTTCGAAAACGCTCTGTGCAGGAAATAACGCGAGTTCTATTCAGTTCTACGACATGGAATGTGCAAATATGAACAAACTTGATGCGTATAGAGGAAGCTTCAGGTTAATTAAAGTCTTTTCACGAACATTCCAACACATGTCGAAGCAATTAATAATTAATTAGATGTCGAACGCCCAGAATTGGGTTTTATGAATTGTTTCCTTAATTTAATTTAATTTAATAAACAATGTTTGATAATAAATTCACATGGAATTGATTAGAATTAAATATTCAAGTAAATATATACAAAGAGATTATTAAAAATAAGATTAATTAATATAAATTTAATCATTTTTCCACTTTTTAATTATTTACTGGCTTTTTTTATCATTTTGCTGGATGTAAGTTAAGTCAAATTTAATTCTAACTGAGACTTTTCTGCTATTTTCTTTAAAAATAAATAGGACTGGCGAATATCCGAAACCACAAAAGATTGAAAGATTATGTTTCTTAGCAATTTTTGTTTTAAACTGAAATTAATTTCCACTTGAAAGAACGGAATTTATTTCACCCTGTCACTTCACGATCAATTGAATTAAGAGCGAGAATTAATAATAAATGGGGAGTCGGGCGGCGTGCACATGGTGTCGCCGCGCCAGACTGGATTAATTAGTGTCCTGCGCGAGCAAGATAATTGCACCAAGACAACAGATGCCAACACAGCAATTAACACGCGCGGCGTCTCTCTCTCTCTCGTTGTTGTTGTCAACTTGTACGAATGCGTTTCTCACACTCATTGTCAGCGCAGAGCCGAGAGAGGGAGAGAAAACTACCCTCGACCGCAAATCCAATAGTTCAGCCACCTGTTGACTCGGACAGAGCTAAATATGCACACGCCGAGCTGTGCAAATAACTGCATTCAGCAGGTATTATACGTGGCGTGACGCCTGATGGGTATGCAAACCGCTCGACACCCGCCAATTTAAGCAGCTATTACAGCTGCTAATTTAATTCTAATTTGATAAACTCAATCTCTATATTTCACTTTTATTGAATTTCTCAATGATTAGATGAAAAAACACGGTTATTTTTTCTAAAATTAGCTTTGGTTTGTAGCTTTAAGTTAAAAGTAGAAATTGAATCCATTGCGAGAACTGAATGTTTTAAATTTAACCGTCTCTTAAGGGAATTTTCTAGATAAAATAATTTTTTTCTCAAAATTGATTAAAATTTCACCAAATCACCTCAATGGAGATTGAAAAATAAATTCTGTAAATCAGTCATCATAAAAAAACTTGCATTGATTTTACAAGAAAAGATTGGAAAGCTTTAATTGCTGTAAAGTTCATCACTATTTTTCTTTAAAATAAAGTGCACCTGAGAATAAAAATTCATTTCCCCTCAAGTAAAAAGCTTAACAAATATGTAAGTCTCTTGTTGCGAGTTGAATGTTTCATCATTTTAAGACAAAGTCACGCAAAAAACTTTGAATTTGCGCTCTTATGGCCTTCTAGAAGTTTTTAAAAAAAGACAGTTTATTTCATGTTCACAAATAAAATTTCATTTGTGAAAGATCTTGTTTTGTTTAATGTGGCAATAATTTGATTAAGTTATAAAATGAACTTCAATTTGCAATTATTGCAGCTGTTTGATTTCAGCACAAGACGGAAAAATTGTATTGCTTGCTTTTTCGTGGCCCACGCTTTGACCTCTGGAGTGGTGAGCGCGGAAGAGCGACACGTGCAAGACGAGGAAAGGAAAAAGGTGCAAAAATACTCACCTCTTCAGGAGTCGTTGAGAAAATAAGGTTTCGCGGGAGTGGAAATGCCGGTGCCTGGGTAAACTTCATGTTCAAAGTGCTCATCGGGCGCGTCTTTGCTGCACGTGAAAGCGAGTTTGTTTCTTATTTTCGGTCAACTTGTTGCCGCAGACGTGCGAGATCTCATCGGGCAAGAGGCTGCGCGGAGAATAATCAAGCCCATCTCCATACGCACGCACGCCGCAGACAGACACTCTCGCGGCGCTGGGGATGGATGGGGAGAGGGGTTGCGTTCGCTCGCTCTTTCGCTCCCCGCGCCAGGTATACGGAAAAAAAATTGAGATAAATCGCGAGATCGATCGGCGAATAATAACAACAGAGCCACGCGTATTCAAATTATTGTCAGGAGCGACGAGACTTGCTTGCTTGGGAGCGGCGCGGGCCTAACTAAAGAGCTTTTTTGGCCACGAGAAGAGAAGTAGCGAGTCGCGCGCTGCATACTATGGAAGGGAGAGCGCGAAGATGGCCCGAAAAAATATGACAAAAAACTGAATTTCGTGTGTGTGTGTGTGCAGAGAGGCTAATCAGAATGCCGCCGCCGCCAGGAGAGAGAGAGGAGGTGGTGGCCCCGCCAAAAAAACCAACTCGCCGCAAATTGCGAACCTTGAATCCGACGGTGGCAATTGTTTGTATTTCATTAAATCCCTACGCCCGAAAAAAAAACTACGTCTGTGTTTCCAATTTGGAATTTCATCAAATGGTGGCTGACGGCAATTTCTCGCTCAAACGCTATTTCACAAATTCTCTTTGCAAATTGATTGGTTTTTAACTGAAATTCTCTGAAACTTGTTCATATTTATACTAATTTTTATAAAACAAGCTTCTTTAGTAAAAACAATGAATGGTTGAATTTTTTGTTTATAAAAATTATGAAGTTTTAAAGTTTTAGAACTGTTTTAGGTTTTAATTGGATCTTCGGATGATTCAGCGCCTATACATAATTTAAACCCAATTACAAATCTGGAATTCCCCAGTGCGGCTGCAAAAGTCAATGAAACAAACATGACGATTTAATCAAATTGATCATTTTGAAATTCAACCCTTTGGGAAAACTGTCCGTTTGCATATCTTTGGTTTGATGATTTCCGTGGCCCGAGGTGACGAAGATGAAACGCGAGATTCAAATATTATTATAAAATGATGGGTCGCGGCCGTAAATGTCACTTGATTATTGCAGGTACGTGAGGGGAACAATGTGTTGTCCCGCGGCGTTTGCGGCAGCAAAAAAGTGTATCTCTCGCGTAATGACACCGCATTCTGTCATGACACACACGGGATAAGAAGGTTATTTTTATACACGTACAGCTTCTGTAATACGCTCATTTTTCTCGGAATGATACGGAGCACGGGGCGCTCTCGGAACGATAATAAAGAGCTAAAAATAAAACGCTCGTTTGCGACACCCGCGCGCTACGTGCGAAATCTTCCCATATGGAAATTCAACTTTTAATTTTAAACACGCGCAACTTGCTTTAATTTTACAATAGTTTTGCTCACGCATTCTTTCATAAATGGATGTGCTTTTACAGCAGAATTAACAGGTACAAACTTTGCCAAGAAGTAAGTTAAATTTTCATCAATTTAAATAAGGTTCTTTTATTTTTTTGGCTAAAATTATAAATGCTGCGATAGATTCATAATGATTCCCGTTTTTAAAACGCAAATTGTAATTCATGAAACTAAATTAATGTTTAGATTTTTCTGGATAAAAAACCATTTAAAGAGATGAAATGTCTTCGCCCACTTGATTAGTTAGTTTCATCAAAGGGCTTCCAAAAATACGGTGGGAGTTTCGGAAAAGTATGGTGTAGCTTTCCATATTTGAGGAATTTTCAGCAGCAGCGTGCGGTGAATCAATTTCAAAGTCTGGACTGGGTCAAAACCACCGCTGGTCAACACACGTGGCACAAAAAATTAACAAAGTTTCAGTAGCAAATTGAGGTGTCTCGGGCCACACGTGTGCAGCGCCAAATACTTGAGACAAGAGCAAAGAGCAAACTATTATATCCGGGCAAAAAGTTGAAAAGATAAAAAAGGAGAGCAAAAAAGAGAGAAGTTTGCTCTGAGGGCAAATATTTTCCGCCTGGGGAAAACAGGCGCAGGGTTATTAAATTTCGCGAGGGGAAAAAGTCGAGACTTGCGAAAAATAAGTAGAAATAAAAGGAGATTCGCGCGCGAATATTATTACCATTTTGCTAGACGCGTGCGGAGAAGGGAAGAAAAAAAATCGGGTTGAAAAGAAAGAAAGAATGTGTTTTATATTTTGAAAGTGCGCGGCGCAGACGGGGAGGTCGGTGGCCTTAGCTGGCGGTCCTGGGTTCGAGGACGGCACACGCCGCGGTGCGAAG